GGCAGTTCTAATGCTGAAAAGTGCAATATATGAAAGTATTTTTAAAACAAAATATTTTTGGGTTTCAAAGAAGTGTATAATAAAAAATAAAAAGGTGAAAATATTGAAATTAGGCTGATATGTGTCTCATGGATGCATAATGGTAAAAGTTCATTTCACCAACCTTTGCATGTCCGTCTTTAACTCGATCATTTTGGACTCTGCATCCATGGCTTGCTTCAACCGCTCCTCACTAAGTTTGGTTGTTTCCTCGTATTTCTTCTCTGTTTCTTCGATTTTCTTCTCCAATGAGCTAACTGAGGCCTTCAAGAGAACCAGCATATTATTAATATAGTCAAGAGAGAGAACAAAAAAAACATAGAAGCAATATAGACATTCAGTATCTTAAAATATATTGGCATACCATACATGATAAACTTATAACATACCTTAAGTTGCATATTTTCACCCTTAAGCTTATTGACAATTTCATGATCAATGAACTTGATGTCTTGTGCAGCAGGCACGGCACCTGCTCCATAGAAATCTTCTGTGTCTCATGCGCAGTGTACACATGGTCAGCAATCCTTTCCACGGGTGTCTGCGCCTTCAGGAGCAGTTGATTAGTCTCTTGGACCTGAAGCTCCACCCCTTCTAAAGCAGGTTGTAATTTTACATTTTCCTGGGATTTGGCTTCATCCTAGACAGCCCATAACGAGAGGTATCCATAAGTATGTGTGAAAATGGAAAAGCCGCAACAAGCTTGGGGGAGGGGTGAGGCCGTGAGGGTGGGTGATGGAGGATACTTTATTTCTTCTAGATAACTATTCAGGTCTGTATAATGGAGAAGTTTATGAGCAAAAATACAAATCCGGGAATTAAAACATATGAAAACACAAAACGTGCCTTAGGAAACTCATTTTCAGAAGTGAGCTCATTGACCTTTACTTGATGAATAACCTGGACATCGGGCGCCACAGGCCTCTCTGCAGCAGTAAATTCATTGACTTTTTCTTGATTAATAACATAGAGATCTTGTACCAAACACTTGTTCTTGGTAGTCCTGTTTGCAGTCTCATGTTCAATCGTGAGCAAAGCTCTAGTCTCTTGGAGCTGAAGGTTCATTTCTTCCAGAGCAGACTGTAGTCTGGCTTTTTCCTTGTTTTTGGCTTCTTTTGAAGCCTATAAATGATATCCAGAATCAAACATTAGAATTGGGACTAACTAGACAGAAGAAACAATTGTCAGAATACGTGGTAGATACACCTTAATGCCGTGGTGGTATATATTTGAGTTTGTATAATAGAGCTTAAAGCCAGTTTCTCTACTAAAGATTTAAAACATAGCAGCAAGTCACCAACAATTTACCTTAAGTATCTCATTTTCAGTGACGAGCTTATTGACCATTTCAAGATCAATGACCTGAGCCTCTTGTACAACAAATGCCCCTGCAGTGCTATCTTTTCCTTTCTCACATTCTTTCATGAGTAATTCTTTAGTCTCTTGAAACTGAAGTCGCATTTCTTCCAA